GCTCAGCAAATACTGCCTAGCATCCTGCTCAAGCAATCCCCATACAGAATTGCCCCTCCGTCCTCACACAGAAATGGAAGGTCTATTTGATAAGTTTTGTAAAAATCAGTACTGTATTTCCAACATTACTCCAGTTATTTTTTAATCCCAAATTTCAATGTGCTTAGAGGTAACTGAAGATGTGTCTTGTGTTTTTTATGACTTATTCTCTGAAGGCAAATACATTTTTCCCTTAGGAAATCATTTTCAAGGTTCTTAGAAGTAAAAGATAAATACTAACATTTGGGGGAAGCTTTGCAAATGCCTTCAGCCTGGTCCAGACTTCTTTCTGAAAAGTGCGATCAGGGAAAACTTCAGTCACAAGTCCTTGAGCACATGCTTCTCCTGCTGTTAACTTCTTTCCGAAAACAAGCATCTCTGTTGCCTGAAATGAAAAGCAAGAAGCAAGGTTAAGACAGTAACTTAATAAAACAAGGCTTCCGTTAACTGCTTTCAGGAGGCTGAGAGAGATTTACTCATGGTCTTTTGAGGTTGCTGGTATTTCTCAGTAAGGGAGAAGCTGATGACCTCAGCAGGCAATGGTTTGCAAACTGTGTGCGGAGACAGGCTCCCAGGAAGGTCTGTAAGGGCTGCTGCTTCTGTGTGCGTCGTTGTTGGAGGGCCAAGATCAGGGGACCCAGGGCAGAAATGATCTGAAGCAGATGCTTGATTCTATAACCCACAGCAACTGTGGATTTTCCATTTTATATACTATAAACTATTATTTTAAAGAGGCAAAAAGGAAAGAAAAATCATGGTCATTGGATCAACCTTTAGAAACTTTCAAAATTCCATTCTCTGGAAACTCTACCCAGTGATCTGGCTCTTAGAGTTTTCTTCACCTGCATTGGTACTCAAATTCGTTCTACTTGACTGAAGGAAAGTAAAGACTTACAGTTACGCTTCTGAAAAAACTGAAGACATTAAGTGGATATCCTCTCTACATTTGCAGTTTCTTTTCCAGAAAAGGAATGCTCTTCTTTTTTTTGAGACAGGATCTCACTCTGTTGCCCAGGCTGGAGTGCAGTGGCACGATCTCGGCTCACTGCAACCTCTGCCTCCTGAGTTCAAATGATTCTCCTGCCTCAGCCTCTTGAGTAGCTGGGATTACAGGTGCCCGCCACCATGCCCGGCTAATTTTTGTATTTTTAGTAGAGATGGGGTTTCACTATGTTGGCCAGGCTGGTCTTGAACTCCTGATCTCAAGTGATCCACCAACCTCGGCCTCCCAAAGTGCTAGGATTACAGGTGTGAGCCACTGCACCCGGCCAAGGAATGCTCTAATTAGTTAAATGCTCTAAGACTTGTAGAGTCAGTTCTGCCCCCTTCCCAAGTTCAATTCAGGGTCTGTGATAGCCTAATGAGAGTAAAAACATACAAGTTTTTAACAAAATCCTAATAGGCAATGAAAACAGGCTCAGTTCCCGCTGCCCCACTTTGAGATCTTGAAGAATATTTGCCAAGTCCTTTTCCTATAACTCAGCTTCTAGTCTTGTCACAGTCCCCTTTAAGTCATGCCACAGGGCATTGGCCACAAGCAAACACAGTGAAAGGCCTGAGCAGCCACTTAACCAGCCTGGGAGAGAATACACTGTGAGGCAGGCCGAGGGAGGGGCTGCTGTGATTGGGAGTGGCTCTGGCAGCAGTGAGCCCCCAAAACCTCCCATCTGCTGGTACTTACTATAACTCTGAAAATGAAGACATCATCATGTTTCTCCTGAGGAGACACTGGTCATCCATAAAGGAACCGAGTGGCCTCCAAACTCAGGGGACCAAGGGAGGCTGGCACAGCCCTGGTCCTTCAAGGGACTAATGCCACACAGCTGCAAGGCGGAGGTGTTGTGCTGCTTGCCATGCAGCTAGCACTAAGCAGCCAGCTGAAAGAGGATCTCAGTTCCGGGAGTTGCAGAGAGAATGTCTAATTTTCCTGCATAGTAGATACTTCCCATAGCCTGATTCCTCCACTGGTAAAACTCTTAGAGTTGAAGAGCAAATAATTAGCTTCCCTTTTGTCCACATTAGCAAAGGAAAGAACGGAGAGACCCATACAATTTTATTTTTAAACACTCCAAAAGTTACCTTGGCTGGGCTCATTATCTTCGGAAAAGTGTAAGAGGAGCATCCTTCTGGACTTTGGCCGAGGTGACTAAATGGTGTATGAAATGTTGCCTGCAGGGGCAGGAGAGAAAAGAAAACCATCTTTCCATGTGTGATTTTTTTTTTTTTTGAGACAGAGTTTCGCTCTTCTGCCCAGGCTGCAGTGAAGTGGTGTGATCTCGGCTCACCGCAACCTCCGCCCCTCGGGTTCAAGCGATTCTCCTGCCTCAGCCTCCCAAGTAGCTAGGATTATAGGCATGTGCTGCCATGCCTGGCTCATTTTTGTATTTTTAGTAGAGACGGGGTTTTGCCATGTTGGCCAGGCTGGTTTCAAACTTCTGACCTCAGGTGATCCACCCGCCTCGGCCTCCCAAAGTGCTAGGATTACAGGTGTGAGCCACCGCGCCTGGTTTCATGTGTTATTTTAAAAAATCACGATTTGCTTATAACTTCATAATACTTAATAATACTTATTTAAAAATTAAGATTATGTGGTTAATATGCACACACAATTCACCATTTAAAAGTGTATAGTTGGATGAGTTTTAACAAATACAGACTTATGTAGCCACCACTGCTATTGAGATGTGGAACATTTCAACCACCCCGAAAGGTTCCGGGGGCCCTTCTATAGTCAGTCCCTCCCTCCCACCCACAGGCAACCGCTAATCTGTTTTCTGTCCCCACAGTTCTGACTTTTACAGAATGTTGTGTAAGTGGAATCCTACATTCTGTAGCCTTTTGAGTCTGACTTCTGAGAGTCACCATGCTGTTGTATAAGTAGTTTGTTCCTTGCTATTTCTGAGTAGTATTCCTTTGTATGGAGGTACAATAATACGTTTATCATTCACCAGTTAATGCCACTGGTGTTGTTTCTAGTATTCAAATAGTTGTACCATTTCACATTGCCACCAGCAATGTATGAAAGGCTACTATGAAGAAGGCTGCCATGAAAAACAAGTTGAACACCTTAAATATACATAGTCGTGTGTTGCTTAACAATGGGGATATGTTCTGAGAAATGCCTAATTAGGCAATTTTGTCATTGTGCCAACATCACACAGTATACTTACATATACTTGGACACTACAGCCTGCTGCATACCTAGCTATGTGGTACAGCCTGCTGCTTCCAGGCTACCAACTTGGACAGCATGTTATTATACTTAATACTCTAGGCAGTTATAACAAATGGCATTTGTGTATCTAAATATATCAAACATAGAAAAGGTAGGCCGGGTGTGGTGGCTCACCCCTGTAATCCCAGCACTTTGGGAGGTGAAGGTGGGCAAATCACCTGAGGTCAGGAGTTCGAGACCAGCCTGGCCAACATAGTGAAACCCCATCTCTACTAAAAATACAAAAATTAGCCTGGTGTGGTGGTGTGCACCTCGAGTCCCAGCTACTCGGGAGGCTGAGGCACAAGAATTGCTTGAACCCGGGAGGAGGAGGCTGCAGTGAGCCGAGATCATGCCACTGCACTCCAGCCTGGGTGACAGAGTGAAAAAAAAAAAAAAAAAAAAGGTATAGTAAAATATGGTGTTACAATCTTAGGGGACCACCGTTTTACATGCAGTTTGTCATTGACTGAAATGTTGTTATGCCGCACCTGACTGTACAATTCTTATTTGTCAATTATACCTCAATGAAACTGAAAAAAAATTAAAAAATAAAAATGTTCAGATAATTTTAACAAAAAGGTAGTTAGGAACACTTGTGTACAGGTCACTGGGTGAAAACTGAGTGTTTGCAATTATCACAGGTAAATACCTAAGTGGTGGAATGGCTGGGCTGTGTGGTAAATGTATATTTAGCTTAGAAGCTGCTAAACTGTTTTCTAGAGTGGTTGTACCATGTGACATTCCCACCAGCAATGTATGAAAGTTCCAACTGCTCTACATCCTCACCAAACCTAGCTATTTAAAGTCTTCTTCATTTTAACCATGCTAGTAGGTGTGTAGTGGGGTCTCACTGTGGTTTTAATTTACGTGTCCCTAACCATTAATGGTATGAAGTCTTTTACCATGTACTTATTAGACATATGTATATTTTCTTTGGTGAAGCAACTGTTAAGATATTTTGTTCACTATTTTTTAAGTTAGGCTGTTTACTTTCTTATTATATAGTTGTAAGATACACATTCAGGTTGCAAGTCTTTTATTAGAGCATCAGGCAAATCTTTTTTCCTGCTCTGTGGCTTCAGGCAAATCTTTTCTCCTGGTCTGTGGCTTATCTTTTCATTTTCTCAATGATTTCTCTCATATGGTTTTAATAGCCCTTTACATTTCATTTTGTCTAACCTATTCATTCCTCACCATTGCCCATTTTTATTTTAGCTTTATAGACAAACTTTAAAAAATACTGTAGAGAGGTCAGCTTTTGTTACATGAGTTGAAAAACTGTTTCCTCAATCTGTCATTTGTCTTAATTTTGCCCCAGTGGTTTTTTGATTGGCTTTAACTACTGGAATTAATTCAATATTGCTTATTTAGTATATAGTCATTTTTAGTTTTTTTCGTTTTTTTACATTTAAGAAACATTTTTGTGTTTCTTGATGAGTAAATTATGAAAGAATGTTAATTTAAAATTTATAATATGTATTTAGATGATAAGAATATCTAAATTTATCTAAATTTTCATATTTAACTTCATAATTTGGCCATATGTATCTAAATTTTATCTAACTTCAATACTAAGAATATTTAGATTTCATTTCCTATAACCAGACACAGTGTTATTTTTAATGCATAATTGTTAGAAGATATAAATCTATAATGTATGCAGCATATAAATAAAAATAATCAAAAAATCAAAATATTTTAAAAAGTTTGTTAATGTCATGTATCTTCTTTTTTTATCCAAAAGAAAACTTATTCAAAAAAATGTACCCAGAAGACACAGCCAAAGGAACGTAAGCAGGAAACTGAGAAAACTGCCAACAACAGCTAAAGGGACACAAACAGGTACATGCAAAGTTGCCAATAAGCAGCATTTAAAATGCTTATTTTCAGAAAGAGAGCAGAAGATGGAGTTAAGGGTTTAGGCTCTGGCATCAGACTACTTAGTGATTTTGGGAAGGTTTCTTACCCTCTCTGGGCCACAGTTTTCTCATTTGTAAAATGGGAACCAATCCTTCTTTTTTTGACATGGAGTCTCGCTCTGTCGCCCAGCCTTGAGTGCAGTGGCATAATCTCGGCTCACCGCAACCTCTGTCTCCCGGGTTCAAGCGATTCTCCTGCTTCTGCCTCCTGAGTAGTTGGAATTACAGGCATGTGCCATGACACCCAGCTCATTTTTGTAGTTTTAGGGGCTTCACCATGTTGGCCAGGCTGGCCTCAAACTCCTGACCTCAAGTGATACACCTGCCTTGGCCTCCCAAAATGCTGAGATTACAGGCATCAGCCACCATGCCCAGCCTAGACTGTAAAAATTATTTTTGCCACATTGGAGGAGAATGTTTGTTTTTATAGACAGGGTCTCACTCTGTTGCCCAGCCTTGAGTGCAGTGATGTGATCTTAGTTCACTGCCACCTCTGCCTCCTGGGTTGAAGCAATTCTCTTGCCTCAGCCTCCCAAGTAGCTGGGACTATAGGCGCCCACCACCACACCCAGCTAATTTTTGTATTTTTAGTAGAGATGGGGTTTCACCACATTGGCCAGGCTGGTCTTGAACTCCGGACCTCAGGTGATCCACTTGCCTTGGCCTCCTAAAGTGCCGGGATTACAGGTGTGAGCCACTGCACCCGGCCAAGTCCTTCTTTCATAGGGCTGCTCTGTACATTATGTGAATATGTATGCATGTATGCGTATACTTATAATAAATACAATGCATGTAACAGAGTGCCTAAACAGTGACCACTCAAAGATTTATCATTGTTATGATTTCTACCTTTTTCTTAACTCATACAGGAAATGTATCATTTGCTGACAGAGCTAATAGGCATTAGTAACGATTGCCCACAGTACAAAATAGATAAAATGTACTAATTAATATTTTGGTTATATGGGTTAAATATTAACCCATCACTTAATATATTTATTCTTGAAGCCAATAATGATAAATCCTATAAAATGATTTTTTCTACAGCCTTTTCCTTTAGCATATTCCCATTACTTTATTTTTTACTTATATATTTTTTTGAGATGGAGTCTCGCTCTGTCACCCAGCTTGGAATGCTGTGGTACGATCTTGGCTCACTGCAACCTCCACCTCCTGGGTTTAAGCAATTCTCCTGCCTCAGCCTCCAATGTAGCTGGGCCTACAGACACCCGCCACCAACCCCTGCTAATTTTTGTATTTTTAGTAGAGATGGTGTTTCACAATGTTGGCCAGGCTGGTCTTCAACTCCTGACCTCAGGTGATCTGCCCACCTCAATTTCCTTTATTTTAAATTGATGCTTGGTTTATTAGATTGGGTAAACTTTTATCAGCAGATACTATTTGACAAATAAATTTTACTTTTGGCCAAATTTTTTAACATTTAATATACATATGCAATATACATTATAATATATAGGCTAGATACGTTTTATATATATTGTGTATATATCTTCTCTGATTTCAACATTTATTATAATTTATATCATAAGATGGAAGTCATCAAAATTTTTAAAAGGATGACGTAGGCCAGGCTCGGTGGTTCACACCTGTACTCCCAGCACTTCGGGAGGCCAAGGCGGGCGAATCACTTGAGGTCAGGAGTTCGAGACCAGCCTGGCCAACATGGTGAAACCCTGTCTCTACTAAAAATACAAAAAAATTAGCTGGGTGTGGTGGCGTGCACCTGTAATCCCAGCTGCTCAGGAGGCTGAGTGGGAGAATCGCTTGAAGCTGGTAGGTGGTGGTTGCAGTGAGCCAAGATCATGCCGCTGCACTCCAGCTTGGGTGACAGACTGAGACTTCCATCTCTTAAAAAAAAAAAAAAAGATGTATATTGAAAGTAATTTTCAATTCAGTGGGAGAATCAGAACAAGATTCAAATACAATATTTGCCCTCCAACTATTAAAGAAAGAGATCCCCAATTTTAGGTCAGGATCTATTGACCCAGTCCCTGTTAAAAGCAGGTCGATGACTAATCAGTCATCTAACACAAGACTGTGAACAAAGACATTGATTTCTGCCTTTGAACAGAAACCTCTATCTACAAAGGCTGGGCAGCCTGGCACCTAGAATCTCATTTGCTGTTTTCTGCAGGAAAATTATTCATAAGAATTAGGTCTGTCAATACATCCAATCTGGTTCAATGGAATCCAGCAAAAGAAAATTCAAAGAATTAAGGATGCTATTATATGGTCCTGTGTATCAGTGGGGAAAATACCTCTGAACAAAACTAGAAGTCTCTTCAGTGGTAAAAACCATGTTTCCTAGAAGGCTGTAATCAGCACATTTTACCATCACATAAGCATAAGTCACTGGAACACTCTGATGCCCTAAAGGTGGTTATTAGGTGCTTGTAACGATAAAAATTGGAAACAGCCTAGGGCTCCAGCAGGCAGGGACTGGTTACACAAGAGAAGTTAATAACCCCAATGTTAGGACTGGTTATCTCTAGGTGGTAAAATAAGGAGTGATTTTTACCTTGTAGCTTTTCTTGGTACTTTTTCATATCTTTCAAAATTTTATTTTCCACTATGACATATATATTACTACTATAGTAAAACTAAAAACTAAAATCTATATAATGCAATGGTGAACACAAGGCTGAATTGTGTTCTGGGCAAGGAACTTCTCAGAGCTTCAGTTTTCTTATCTGCAAAGGGAGTGAGAGTAGATAATGCTCACAGTTCCTTCTCATTCTAAAATTCTAAATCCATTTACTCAGTAAAAAGGATTAAATAATCCCTTGCACAACCTGCAAAGACGCTGTTCCTCCCTCCCATAACAAATTTTCAAGTGTCTCCTGAATATTTCAGAGTAACATGAAAACTTGAATACCTGTTGTGGAACTTGATTAGAATCTAGAACAATCAGAGTTGGAAAAATGTTTACAACAAAACGCAAGTTAATAATGAAAGAAAAATAAAATCAGTCAAATTAGACTAATGCTTTGGGAAAAATCTAAATTCAGTTAATTCTACCACAAACAACATGTAACCTGCTTATGACTGGCAACGCTGAAGGAGGATTCAAAGGCTCCCATCTCGCGCTGCTTGCCTGACCTCTTGCTTTCTGAGAGCTGACTTACCCTGTCAGATGCATACACGGCATCGAATAACCCAAGGAGGGTGACGGAGATGCCCACAGCTGGACCATTGACCACTGCAATCAGAGGCTTAGGAAAATCTATAAAACAGCCCACAAATTCCCTACAGAAATGGAAACACAAAATCATGAAATGTGCCAAAGCAGCATGACTGAAGCATGGGCAAGACGGTCTGACTCTGAGATAAAGCCTTCTGTCAGGCTGGGTATTTCCACTGCCACCACCGGCAGCGCCTCCCTGTCCTGCCACTTCCCTGATCTTCCACACTGGATTCATCCAGGGCATCCATTTGAATGGCAGTGGATGGAAGACCAACCAGAGAGACCTACGGGTCAACCCTGGTTTGAATCCTGTATTCTGGACAGCGAGTTCAGGGCTGTAAACCAGCCGCAGTCTTAGAGATGAGGTTGGGTGACTGAGCACACGCTGCAATATCACAGCAAGTGGCAATGACAGATTTGGCAGGAAAAAAGAGGAAAGCCTTCATGACGTCCTCCTGTGTTTTATAAGACTCCTCCGAGTCTCCTACTTTCAGCATTCATGGAAATCGCCCATTCCGCTGGCTGGATGAGAATTTGCCACATTCCTCTACCTCAATGCAAGATAATTTTGTTTACAACTATAGCTCACTTTTATGTTTTCCAGTCAAATATCATGAGACCAGCAGGATGAACAGGTAACAGAGGTCAAAGACAGAGAATGAATGCCCACCTATGGATGGAGGCAGTTTAGAGAAATATGCTTGTCCAAAGTCACAATTAACTGCACTGACACTGAGAAGTAGATATTTCACTTTTGCTCAACTAAATACAACTTTGATGACTAAGAATGGGCCCTCTGGGATCACAGGAAGGTCAGTTACTCTTACCTCAGTAAGATGGCACCATTTTTAGCTTTCTCCTCTACTCCACCAGGGGGAATATCAGTGAAGTTAGTCAGGTCATTCCCACTACTGTAATAGTCACCATTTCCTATAAGTAAGAAAATCAACAGATCCCTCATTCATTCATCCTATAATTCTTGAGTATCTACTGCATGCAAAACTCTATGGTTAGGCACGGGAAATACACTGGAGAACCAGCGACGGTTCCTGCCCTAACTTACAAACTAGTGAGTACACTGGACACTGATCTATAAAAACACACAGATAAATGTAGCTAATGCCACTGTTGAAATAGAGGAGAGGTGCATCATGAAAAGAGGGTATGTACCAGGAGGGTTGGTCTAATCAGGGAGTTCAGGAAAGAACTTTCCTAAGGAAGGGACAACTGAACTGAGATCTGTGCAAAGGCTCTTCGGAGAGGTTATCCCCAGTGTAGATGAAATAAGAGCCACTGTAGCTGACTCAGAGAAAGCCAGGGGGAAGCTGGTGCAGGGTGTGCACTGGCAGAACAGACCTGACGGTGCTTTGTAGATCCCATGAGGAAGTTTTTCCTTTATTCTAAGAGCCATTGAAAGTGTGCTTCTGAGTGTGTGTGTTTAATTAAAGTATAATTTATATATAATAAAACAACCAGTTCTTAATTGTTCATTTAGTTGTTTTAATGTTTTTAAATACCCACAAGATCACCATCCAAAACAAGATACAGAACATCTCCATCACCCCAGAAGTTTCCCGTAGGCTCCTTTCTAGCCATCCCATCCCACCTGCTCCGAGGCAATCACTTTCTAACTTCAATTTCCACAGAGAAGAACTTCTGCCTACTGTAGAACTTTCTACAAATGGACTCATACAAACATGTAAACTTCTGTCTTTATTTTGCTGAACTGCGTTTTAAAGATGCATCCATATTCTTGTATCATTTATTCTATTTTATTGCTGAGTACTCCATTGTACAAATAGTCAACAATTTGTTTATTTATCCGTGTGTTTTTGAACATTTGAGTTGTTTTCTGGTTTTGGCAGTTATAAATCAGGTTACCATGAGTGCGCCTGTAAAAGTCTTTTTGTGGACATTATGTGTCTTAATTTATGTTGGGTAATTGCAAAGAAGTGGGTATCTGTGGGTTTTTAAAAATATTTTTTGCGTATTTATAAATCAGAGTATGACAGTACTGGAAAAGAACTTAGAGTTTTAATTATTTATTTATTTTTTGAGACAGAGTCTCGCTCTGTCGCCCAGGCTGGAGTGCAGTGCTCTGACCACCTCCTACTCTGCCCACACTAGATAGGCCTCAGCACCTCCTCTGAGTTCCCTGCTGCTTCGTACTTTCCACCCTCCTCCTCTTTTGAACACGATAGTCCTCTGTTAGTTCCAAAAGCTCCAGGACTATTTCTTTCTTGTTCCCTTTTGGAAAAAAAGTGGTTCGCGATCTCAGCTCACTCAACCTCCACCTTCCGGGTTCAAGTGATTCTCCTGCCTCAGCCTCCTCAGTAGCTGGGATTGCAGGTGCGTGACATCACGCTTGGCTAATTTTTGTATTTTTAGCAGAGATGGGGTTTCACCATGTTAGTCGGGCTGGTCTCGAACTCCTGATCTCGTGAGCCATCCGCCTCGGCCCCCGGCTCTCAGAGCTTTTGAACTCAATTTCCTATCTATTAAGACGCCCCTCAAAATAGGAATTTAATTAGGATGTCTGAGAAAATCTCTTACCTGTTAAAACAGTGATGGCTGAGTCATCCTTGCTGGCGGCTTTAAGTGCATGCATAATTTCATGGTACATCTGTGTAATGGGAAGACAAGGAAAAGAAAAGAACTCTGAACACAGGAATCATCCACCAGTGGATTCACTAAATGTCAGGCTGGAAGCCTGCTCTCAGCAAAGTGCCTAACATTTATTTTGGCTGTATTTTATAACCAAAAAAGGTAGACCGATACACCTGAAAGAATTTTCATTCCTTTTACAATTACTTGGTGCATATTATGTACCTGGTGCTATGGTAGGAGCTGCCGGCTATAAACCACTTTTTTTCCAAAAGGGAACGAGAAAGAAATAGTCCTTGAGCTTTTGGAATTAACAGAGGACTATCATATTGAAATGAGGAGGGGGGTGCAAAGCCTGAAGCAGCAGGGAACTCAGAGGAGGTGCTGAGGCCTATCTAGAGAGGGCAGAGAGAGAGGTGGCCAGAGAAAACTTTCTACAAAGCAACGTCTCTGTTGTGACCTCAAGGAAGCCCCTGGCAGTCTGGGAAGTGTCTGGCTGGAATTTTCAAGACACTGTAATGGTATTCAAGGAAGGGGCCTCAAAATTTTAAATCAGCAACATTTCTGAAAATCTTGGACATGCAACTACATAGCTTTTAATGCATTTAAAACAGGTGCAATTTCAACCTTAGATGAGATTTCAGTGTGGGAAAGAATGAAGAGGGCGGATACTTATAGATACAAATACACTGCAAAAGAAACATGGACTTCACATAAGACAGCTGGCCCTCTGTATCCACGGGTTCCACATCCATAGATTCAACCAATCACAGATCAAAAATATCTAGAAAACAATTCTGTGTCTATACTGAACATGTACAGACTTCTTCTCTTATCATTAGTCCCTAAACAATAAGGTATAATAACTATTTTAATAGAGCATTTACATTGTGTGCAGTATTATAAGTACTCTGGAGATGATTTAAAGTATATGAAAGTGTATACAGAGGTTATATGCGAATATTACGCCTTTTTATGGGGGTCTACAGGTTCCGCGGATTTTGGTGTCCATAAGGAGGTCCTGGAACCAATCCCCATCAGATACCAAGGGATGACTGTACATGAATAAGCATCTAAGCATTTCTCCTGAGGGAAGTGATAAGGAACTCACTCCATCATTATTACAGTTATAACACAACACAGCAGGGCAACTGGTGAGACCAGGATTAGAAGACGGATTATCAGGGTTTCTTTTTTTTTTTGCGATGGAGTCTCACTGTGAGGCCCAGGCTAGAGTGCAATAGCGTGCTCCTCAGCTCAACCACCACCTCCCCACTTCAAGAGATTCTCCTGCCCCAGCCTCCCCAGTAGCTGGGACTACAGGCGCGCACCATCACGCCCAGCTAATTTTTTGTATTTTTAGTAGAGATGGGGTTTCACCATGTTGGCCAGGCTGGTCTTGAACTCTTGACTTCAAATGATCTGCCCACCTTGGCCTCCCAAAGTGCTGGGATTACAGGGGTAAGCCACCACGACTGGCTATCAGGGTTTCAATTTAGGTTTTGCTGCTTATTTGTTATGTGAACTTGAGCAAGTTACTTCTTAATCTAATTATCTTATTATTAAGAAATGATAACAGTAGGCTCCTTGTGAGGATTAAATAAACGTCTGTGTAGAGAGTGCTGGCACTCATTAGGCACTCTGTACAGAGTAGCTGTTATTACCATAGCTGTAGAGAAATGAGTCAGGGCAAAGTGGAAATAAAGTTTGAGCATTAAATGCTTTATGAGTTGAATGACATATATCCCACTTCAGGAAATGCTGAAGATGATTTTAAAGTGAGTATGCTCTTTCTGCCACAATGGAGGTTACTGACCCAACAGCCATAGTCCTCTCAAATTTTAGTCCCAGTGGAGCACCAAACATCCAATTAATTCCCTATAATTTTTTTCAAGGAGAAGGGGCTAAAGTGGTTATTTTATTATCATTCTAGTTCAATGAGAGATTCAAAGACTGAAGTTGCCGAGTGAAGCAGCTACTTTAAAGCCGAGTTGGGTAATGATTTAAGATAAAGTCCTTCTCTCCTTTCTCCCTATACTTGTAAAAAAGGAAGCCCCCATGCAAGCAGAAAGACTTACTTTCATGTCTAAGTGACATGAAGATACTTCTGGGAGCAGTCTACACCAACATAGATGGCTTCTATGCGAATTCTCTCACAGCAACATGTTTCATTTATATTAATTTATTTGTGCTTCCCTCATTAGGAAAATCACGGTGCCTTTTGGGTATATCAGAACCTACCTGAAGTTCACAAACTCTAAACAATGAACGCTCGACTCTGTTGTATGAAGTAGCCACAATTACCAACCTTCCTGCACAAATCAAACAAGACATACCATAAAATAGGAATGATGCTGAAACTCTACAGCTTTTGCGTGAAACACATAGAAGAAGAAAAGAAAAACAGGACAAACTCCGAGGGCAGGTAACATTACCTCCACGTTCAGGGCATTTTTCTTTGTGGGCCGGTTTAACATGATCTTTGTGATGCCATCTTCGGAGGTCACCATCAGAGTTTCATACCCAGTTGATTTCCTGTCTGTTCCAGGCTCCACCTGACTAGAGGATTCCAATGAAGAACTCAAACTGGACACCAAATCCACATAGTTCTGCCTGGCAGTTTCCTGAATGGAAGATGACAAACAGCCTCAGCCCATGGTCAATGAATAAGCACGTTGAGAAAGTTACTAGACTAATAACTAGCATCTTGCAATGAAGAAAGAATAGAAGCACATCAAGATCTTGAAGGCTCCATTTATAATGGCTTAATGAGAAGCACCAAACTTCTTTAGAATGACAGCAAATAAAAGCAGAGTAACTAGTAAATTCACCTTGGGCAGGCTGCCAAGGGCATTCCATGCATCCCATTTGGCCTTGTTGATCAAGTCAAATACACCTGGTTTGGGCACGTTACAAGGTCCTTCAGTGGCCTGTGAAAAGGAGAGGGGCAATATAGTCAAGTGACCATGTAAACTGGACCCCTAAATATTTAAGACCCATAAAATCCATAGGCGCATGAATGCCTCCCCCAAATCCTTTCACAGGGTATGTAAATTGATCTGAATTTTCCCCTTCAGTCTTTTTGGTGTTATTGCCAAAAATGCACAAACAACAGAAAAAAGACTGGAAATAAATAACTGCCTGTCTATGAAAATAAAGGTTTTGGGGAAGTACTTTCTAAAAAAATCTAATGGTTCATTAGTTTTATATTGGTAATCATATTTTCCACAAACAATCAAAATATTCAAGCAAACCATCTTTAAAATGAACTAGTCAACAAATATTTGGAAACCGACAGCATATTCCAAAAGCCCATCTAAAGGTACAAAAAGACACCACGAATTCAGTGGTGGACTTCTGGTACCTGGGCAATGAAACTGCAGCTGAGGGGCTAGGGTGCGGCTGTCAGAGCCACTGATTCTTAGGAAACTTAACTGAAAAACATGCAAGTAAAATGCAAAAAGGAATTAAATTTTATTTTTGAGGCTAGACGGAGTGGGTATTTTGAGATGAATAATTATATCCCATTCAGCTACTTTTCAGAAATGGCAATTTAAAATTCCACTTAAAATTTTAAAATTTTATAATACAGTTAGCTAAAAGAGGAAAGAAGAAAGAGTCTTTGGAAAACAGGCCGGGAGGCTCACACCTGTAATCCCAACACTTTGGGAGGCGGAGGTGGGTGGATCACCTGAGGTCAGGAGTTCGAGACCAGCCTGACCAATATGGTGAAGCCCCATCTCTACTAAAAATACAAAAATTAGCCTGGCATGGGGCGAGTTCCTGTAATTTCAGCTACTCAGGAGGCTGAGGCAGGAGGACTGCTTGAAACTGGGAGGCGGAGGTTGCAGTGAGCTGAGATGGTGCCACTGCACTCCACCCTGGGTGACAGAGCAAAACTGTCTGGGGAAAAAAAAAAAAAAAGAAAAAGGCAGTAAAGGAAGCTATGAATTTCTTTAGATAGAGATAGTGTCATCTGGCAAGAGTTAGCCAACCTAGAAGTTAGAGGGAACACAGCCCACAGCATAAGGGCTTGCCCTTGTCTCCTGACTGTCCTCAATGCTACCACCGATTGCAAGGCTGGAGGGTGCCCAAGACCACCCTCAGGTGCAATAATTTACTAGAAAGACACCCAGAACTCACTGCAATTGTTAAACGCACAGTTAATAGTTTATTAAGAGAAAGGATAGAGATGAGAATCATCCAAGGGATGGAGGATTGGGGCAGTAGCAAACGTGGAGTTTCCACTGTCCTTTCCCCATGGAGTCAGGACAGGGCACCTCTCCCCGAACTGATGTGACAGGGAGTCCTGCCAACCAGAGACGCTCAGCTCATCCAGTCTCAGTGTCCAGAGTTTTCAGTGGGGCTCCATCACCTGTGCCTGACTGTATAACCTGAAGCCCCCACCCTAAATCACATTGTTAGGACAATCCAGGCAAATAAAGACACTCCTATCAGGCTTTAGAGATTCACTTCCCAGAAGCTAAGGACGAAGCCACACGTCCTTTGGGACAACGTTAAATTTTTTTACTATACACACCCATATGAAAGAGAAGCTCATACCCATCATAGCACAGAAAAACCGATAACACAGGAGCCCAGAGAGGCAGACATGTCGGGGAAGTCTTTGGCACTGAAACTTCAAAGCTTTAGGTTTTAAATTTTGTTATAAACATTTCCAAACATACCAAAGTAGAATACGATAATGAATTCCCAATACCCATCATCCAGGTTCAACAACAATCAAATTGCCTTACTTGCTTCATCTCCCTCTCTCTCTTTTCTTTTTTTCTTTTTTTGACAGAGTTTTGCTCTGTCACTCAGGCTGGAGTGTAGTGGCGCAATCTTGGCTCACTGCAACCTGATTCAAGCGATTCTCCTGCCTCAGCTTCCCAAGTAGCTGGGATTACAGGTGCACGCCACTACGTCCAGCTAATTTTTGTATTTTTAGTAGAGACGAGGTTTAACCATGTTGGCCAGGCTGGTCTCAAACTCCTGACCTTAAGGGATCTGCCCGCCTCAGCCTCCCAAAGTGCTGGGATTACAGAAGTGAGCCACCATGCCTGGCCTCATCTATCCTTTTCTTTCTTTTTTTGCTTAGAGAACTTCAACTATCCATTGTTTCACCCCTATATTCTTTAGTATGCACTTCTTAAAAATATCAACATTTTCTTATATAACCTTGACACCATTAACAATGATTTCTAGGTATCTTCTAACACTCTGACCTTATTCAAAGCTTCCCCAATTATCTTAAAAATACCTTTTTCAATTGATTTATTCTAATCAAGAGCTAAATAAGGTCTACAAATGTGAATATTATATCTCGTAAGTCTCTTTTACTCTGGCATGACACTGAGGCACGACACTGAGGCACTTTGTGCCTTGATAATATTTCAAGGTCTAATATTAAAAAACTTGCACGCATATACATACATATATACACACACACACACACATATATATACACACACACACACACACACACACACACACACACTTAAGAGGGAGCAAGACAAACCCAAAATATTAAGGCTACATTTTAGTAAACACACAGTTTATCTACTTAAGGAGTCATTTGCCTAAAATTATTTAAATGTCAGACCGTAGGCATTTACCTGCTTATACAGTGAGTAGAGTTTTAGCTTCACTTCATTTCCTGGATCCTTCTTCAAGAGTTTCACTTGATTCATTGCATTTTCAAAGTCCTTCTGACTGGCTCTCATTGCTGTTCTGTTCAGGTGCAGCTGAACTACTGGGAAACTAATGACCTGCAGAGAACTACAATTAGGCAGACTGATTTCTGTATGTTCCCAACCCTCACATTTCTGCAGCCTGATTTCTAATTGTTCCCAACCCATACATACTAAAATGCTATGTTTGTCCATATTTTCTTTATACTTGCCTCTGCAAACTGGCTGCAAATAATTGGCTGTAAGGATTCCAAGATAGTAACTCAATACGGAAGCTAACAGTACTAACTTTAAATAAATGGAAAAGTAAATAACCATCCAGGGAAGTATTTGTAAGCAATTTAAGATAAAAACAGCCAGAACAGGAGTACCATGTAAATTTTGCCAAAAGCAAGAAGTGAAGCGCATGCAAGACAGTGAACAGCAAGAGACCAAAAAGCTAAAGTGCACAGAATTTTGTAACGTGTCCCAAAGTCCTGAAACAGCCTCTGCACTCACTGATAAGCCATAAACTATATCAGGTCAATTCTTGTCTCTTTGCTGGAAAACCGGTTTCCAACATACACAGAGGTGGAAGGAAGGGAGAATGGATGTGAATATACAAGAAATATTCAAAAGGGCATAGGAACAGTTGCTGGCATTCCAGACAGAGCCACAACCTTCCCAGCAGATGGGAGGGAACCTACCTGCAGTGGAAGGGAGTCAGTGAAGGAGGCTCAGCAGGCGTGCCCCCTTTTGTGGGGATGTTTAGCCAGCCAGCCAGGAACACAGCAGAAACAGTAACCACCGCGGGGTGACGAGCAGGTTTTTAAGCACACATAGTGAGCGGGGGTGGGGTGGCAAACTTCAATGCACAGGACTCAGGCAGGCCACAAGCAAAAAATGGATGTTCACGACGATGACCCGGAATAGTAGAGTTAATGGCATCAAAGATGATTAAAATAATACAGGTTACAAAGCCCAAACCTCACACACAAACACAATTACGTAACTCGAAAATGGTACAATGAACTCTAGGTTTAAACTTTGGACTATTAGTAACTGATTCAGTAAGATCAGCCTACAGTAAGTTTTATATTAAAATGATTTTCTGTAAAGGGAAAAACTGCATCTTATATGGCAAATTCCAAGTAGAAAACGAAAGAAAAATTTAAAATGTCCACAAAAAGAAGAAACGTACAAGTTTCCACAAAATGTGGAACAAATTATCTATTTTTAAATAAAGCGTGAGTTTTAAAAACAATTAGCACAAACACGACCATTTAAGAAATACATAAGGTCGGGAAAATCACTAATAATGTTACCACTATCAAGGCCACCACCGTGTTTCGGTTTTGTTCCCTACACACAGATTCGTGCGGGGTTCCCGGGACCCCAGGGACGTGGAGCGTGCTTCTTGGCCGTTACTGCGTACCCGGCCATTTCACTTTATAGCATACGAGTTCTCCAAAGAGCAAAGAGTGTTAAGTCCACACGAGTGGTAACGGCTTGCGTTTACCTCGCTTTTAGCAAGCAACGCTTTGCACCCCAGAGGCAGCCCGGCTGGGAAGTGCAGGCCCGGGTGTCCGGGGAACCACCGTGCCCAGCTGGGGCGGCTCACCCGCCCGGAGTCCGGCCCCCGGAGGATGGGAGCGTGCGCGAACGCAGGCGGAGACCTCGGGGACTGCGGACAGACAACCACAGCCCTGACCTTCCGACGCGCCCATCCTGACCCCTCTGGGCCCATCGGTGCAGGAGGGCGCGCGAGTGAGGTGGTTATCCTTTAGTACTGCCTCGCTGGAAAACCAGCAAAGAAAGTCCTGTTGCCACCTAGACAATAGGTAAGGAGGGTCTTCCAACGGCGATGACCTTCGCCTGGACAGCGGTATCCTGCGGGCGACCTTGGGCCGGGAGGCCAGGGCTCCAAGCTTACCTCGGACACCAACGCTGTGCAAGTCTCCAGGCCAAGTGCGCCATCGCTACCCCGTGGGCGGCTCAGGGGCGGGGCCGGGTTCATTTGCATTCTTTCCATCAGAAACTGTCCTAACGTTTGTTCTAGACAGGGAAAGATCCCCGTGCTATTCACAGAAGC